GGGGGGGATGTAGAAAGAGAGGAAGACCTCACACTAGATGGCTGGACTGAATCAGGGAAGTCATGGGCCTGAGTTTGCAAGACCTGAGCAGAAAGGAAGAGGGTAGGGGGTCTTGGAGATGCCTCATCCACAGGGTCACCATGTTTCAGGGCTGATTCAAAGGCAGTCTCCTTCCTTGGAGGTCTTTAAGCAGAGGCTGGATGGCAGGGATGCTTTAATTGGGAGTTCCTGCATGGCAGGGGGGTTGGACTGGATTTGTGGTCTCTTCCAACTCTATAATTCTATGATTCAGTCAACAACAACAATAACAGCAAACCCAATGGGACGAAAGGTAGAGGAGCCAGCAGCCTAAGTACTATGCCAGGATGTCCCTGGATTACCTTCAACTCCCCCCATTACTTATTCTCAGCCTTCCTCCCCACTTTGCTGCCCTTTCCCCCAACCAAGATGGTGCTTTCCTGACAAGTACTTCTTAAAAGTCTCCCTTTAGTGAACTGAGGGGTTCTTCCTCTTCTTCCTTCCCTTGGGATTTTTAGAAAAGACTTTTCCTGATGCCCAGTAGAACTCCTTTTTTTGTTGTTTTCTCACTACAGTATTAGACCACTAGAAGTAAACAGAATCCCCACCTCCACTTTCCTGTCTCATGAATAATATTTCTTCCTTCCTTCCTTCCTTCCTTCCTTCTGTCTCCTCTTTGCCTGAGGATATGGAGGAAAGTATGTTTTCTTTTTCCTCTCTTTATTTGGGGTTGGGAGTCTTGTAGAAGCCAAGCACTTTCCGTTGTTTCTCTCAGGAACAGAAAAAATGTACTCTGTGGGGGATTTTATCACATCCCTGTGAAAACACCTGTATTTTTCTGGTTTATGTCAACTAAGTCTGAATCCACACTGCAGAAATAATCCTGGTTGACACCGCTTTAACTGCCAAGGCACAATGCTATGAAATCCCGGGTTTTGTATTTTGTTGTGGCACCAGAGCTCTCTGACAGAGAAGGCTAAATGCCTCACAAAATGACAATTCCCAGAATTCCACAGCACTGAAGCATAGCAGTTAAAGTGGTGTCAAGATGGATTATCTTTGCGGTGCAGATGCACCAAATTCATATTGGTATTGATCGCAGTTGTGTGAAGTACACAGATAGATAAGATGATGACTGTTGGACCCGCAGTTTTTGGAAGACTTTGCAGCAGTTTTTGAATTGTGCATGATGCACACACAGAGACACTATCTGGCAAATGTTTGGTGAATTCCTGATATTCTTTTTTTAATTGATTCTGGTTGTGAACATTTTGAAGAAGTGTTCTCTACAGCTCCAAGGCTATGCAAATACACAAGCCCTAGGTAGACAAATATTTAGTGAAACCTCAGGCATTGATGTGGTGGTCATACAGAGAATTCTTTACTCTAAAGGTGTGGGTGTTTTTTTTTGTCAGTGTGACTTGCTGTTTGTCATGTTACTTGTTAAAATTTTGAACCAAACTTAGGTCACCATTGTTCAGAAAACAACAACATATATTATTTTTATGCTGTGGTCCCTGAAAACAAAGTTAGCTCTGTTTCAGTTTTATAAAATGCTGTTGGAAACTGGTGTGTAATGGTTTTATAGCAAGAGCTGGATATTTTTTCCATGGGTTCTAATTATATGTTGGAATAGGCAATTGGAGCTTTTAAAATTGAGTTGAGGGTTGCTTTAATATACATGTCTAGTCAACAGTAAGCTCCATTGAGTTTACAATCTGGTAGGTATATGGCTGCACTCACAGGGAATAAATCTAATTTATTTATTTAATATAACTGGGACACAAGGACTGGGACTTAAGATGGTTTGACTTCACTTGGCCTTAATACGCACAGAATTACACTGAAAATTATTGCCATTCTGAACAACATATTTTCGTTAAATGTTTCCTACACACTACATAGGACCTTATCACACGTGGCCCAGAAAACTGAAAATAAACGGGAAATAACCCTTGTTTCCACAAACGTCATTACCTTCATTGCGCATTTACAGTAAGTGTATCGAACGTCCACACACAAGAGAAAAAAACCCATAAATGTAGCCGAAATGAGCCTCCTGCACATGCGCAGGGAGAGGAATGCTGGCTGGAACCATGGCAACAGCGGGGAAATGCGCCACAATACGTATTTGGTTATCAACCTACGGTAAATGCAAAATGATTTCCGTCGCGCAATTGCAATTCCTGAAGAAACTGAAATTCAAAAGATCTCGGTTCTTTCCGCTTTCTGTCGGGGTTCTGTGCGACGTCGTGTGGAAACACGGAAAAATAATACGTATTAGGTTGGGATTTCGTTTGGATTCTGTCTGGTTTGGGCCCCGTGTGATAAGGTCCATAGAATTGCAACTAACTTGCAAATAACTGATAAATATACATACCTAGAAGCAAGCTGCCTTGGTATTGGATAACTTGGCTAAATTTGCAGCCTTGACTAAAAAAGTGCTAGAATGTACTATCTGTGTATGGTGTGTGAACAGTATTGGTTAATTTATGTGCAATCTATGGCAGTGGAAACTAGGCTAACTTAAGGCACTACCGTGACTGTTACCTTGTTCTTTGAGGCCAATATGGCAGTATCAAAATGAAAAGTAAAATATGACAGAGTGAAAAATACAGATATAGTATTAAATTGTCATTAGGAATGCATCAAATAACCTGATTAAAAAAAAACAACTGGTAGTTATTTTGCATTACTGCTTGATTTAGACTGCCGTGTGTGTGTGTGTGTGTGTGTGTGTGTGTGTGTGTGTGTGAGAAGAGGATTGGCTCCTGAATATAT